ATACAATATACAATGAGTTATTTCATTATAATCACTATTATTTCTAGGAAGAAAATACACAGGATTTACTCAAACTGAAAAAGAATCGCAGGGACCCCTAATGGTCTCTAACGGTTAGAGAAACATTTTCTGGTAATATTATTGGATGATATCTACATATCTTATGAAAAGGAAGACAGGACTGAATATATGTGGAAAGAGTAAAATTAGACTGACGTGAATAAAATGGGTGGAAATAAGTAGCTCAAAAATGATCTGAGACAAAAAAATATCAAAATAGACTATTTGGAAAACTATTGCTAATGTTTCTTTAAGAATATCATGAAAAGCTTATAGTAATCTACAGTCCAAAGATAATACACTGTTAAGAAGAGAACTACTTCCCATATTTTCAGGACAGATAACGGCTTTGAAGATCTTGGAGAGAGTGGAAAGCCTGGAAACTAGGGTAGCGTCCATACCACTCAGAGAGCAGGCCAAAAGCCACGTGCAGCAAGCACCTTGAGTTGCTATCCACCACTTATCACTGGCAGCAAAGCAGAGGCAGAGAGCTTTATTTAAGAGAGTGAGGTGGCTGGCACTATGGCTCACTTGGCTAATCCTCTGCCTGTGGTGCCAGCACCCTGGGTTCTAGTCCTGGTTGGGGTGCTGGATTCTGTCTCAGGAAGGCAGTGGAGGAGCAGCATCTAGGCCAGGAAGCCTAGGGCTGCATGGCCTTTAGGGCACTTCCAAAGGGGAGTGATTGGCTGGTGGGCACCCAGATGTGGCCAGGTAGGGAGATGAGGTCACACAGGAGTGTGGTAAAGGTATCAGGTAGGGTGTGAAGTCACACAGGGGCCTTGCGAAGGCATGGTCTTCCAGCTCACAAATCTAATCAATTTTAGCTTGTATGCCTGCCTACTTCATTTGCAGTTGATCATGTATCAAAATTATCTATGTTTACTTCTGAAACAAAATGAGGGTGCTGGAATTGTGCTATGGTTTACAGCCCCATTGTAAGGCACTGGACTAATTGTGTACAGCAGAGAAAATAATTTTGGGGATGCAAGACCATTAGGCATAAAGGTAGAATGAGTGTAAAGTAATGCTGAACTAGAACATTCTCCTATAGTTTTCTGTCAAAGCCAGAGAAGGATTGTAGAAAAGTTTTAGATCAACCATGCCCAGGCTCTAAGTGGGTATCAAGGTCACTCAGGTCAAAGCTATATTACCCAGGAATGTGTTAGGATTTGTCTACCAGGACAAAGTACTAAAACACCACACTGTGTAAGATACTATTACAGGAAAACAGCAGCAAGGAAATTATTATTATCTCTGTTCTTCGTCTCACGTGGAAGAAGAATTTCCAAGCAGACAAGCAGAGAGACTTAAAAAGATTTATTAGAGTCAAAGACCTCCAGCCAGAGCAGCATGGAGAGGGACTGCAGGAAAGGCAAAACCCAAAGGACACCATGGCACTGGGATTTTTAAGTACAATTTTGAGGAAGAAACTGTCAATCAATAAGGTGGGGAAAAACCCAACAAAAGACCTGATTTGCAATTCTTTATTCTGTCTGGCTTGCTCAGAAGGGTGGAGTCACCACTCTCCCTTGCTATTCTCATGACAGGACTGGAAGCTCCCAAGGAGTGGGCAGGCAGGTACATCTGACATTGTTAAGGATAACATTTTTGGGGGAACATTTTCCACCCTCAATTTCCAGACTGCCTATTAACCCATGACTCCTCACAATACAAAAAAAAAGTGCCATTGTATACAGATAGTAACAGAAAGAATCAGAAAAAGAGAAAGCAGCAAACAGGTAAATGAAAAAAAAGTCCAATTTCTCCAAAAAAGACAAAAATATTTTGGGAAGAAGCTCCAATTAATGTAAAGAAAACCAATTAATTGATTGTGGCCAGGATTTTAGAGCATTAAGTATTTATTGTTTACACATGCATTTCTTAAGCATTTTTGAGAAATTTTGGGGAGATGTTATGTTAAAGTTATGGTGATTAATAAATTATGCCTTTTGGAAGTTTATAATTTACATACATGAAAGATTTGGTGAGAAAGCAGCAGAGAGAAAACTGACCAAAAAATGAGAAAAAGCGAAAGCAGAAAAGATGAAAGAAGAAAGGGTGGAAAGGAGGAGTAGGAGAGAAAGAAGAGAAAGAGACATTCAAGGCATTGTGCATTAACTGAAGGATTACATCTTTGCCCTGGGTCTCTGGCTTCACTAATCTCTGCCCTATCATAACTTCAGTGAAACATGCACCTTTACTTTCAGCCCTTGTGAATTGTTCAATTGACATTCAAGACGGGATGCCTCACACTCTGAGATAAGTGCTATTCATTTTGTTTCCTTCGAAAGGCCTATTGAGAAATTTTAATCAAGGAGTCTTCACAGGGGTTAACATGCATAAAAGTAAGAATATCTCATTTGAAACTATTATGCAGTGTAGTAACTACTGACCCAAGAGAAAAGTAGGATTAAAAGTGATGGCAAGGAAACCCAATAGAAAGTAAGGGCAATTCTGCTTTAAAAGGAGACTCTGAAAATTGAAGGTAATCTGAAAAAGAGAATGGGGAGGATTACATTATCTAGTTATGCAAATACTTATTGTTAAAATCTGTTGAAAATCATAGTATTTTAGATTTGAAAGGAGTTTCGGAGATTTTCTACTGTAACAACCTTGTTTTATAGTAAAGATTCTGAGGTCAAGATCAGTATCTTGGCAGAATCACACAATATTTGCTAACAATGTTGTTACTATTATTATTACTATTATTATTATTATTAGTGATAGAACTGGAATTAGAAACTGTCATCTGACACTTAGTCCATTCACTGTTCTCTCAACATCACATTCCTATTCCTCTTAAAATGAATTTACCTAATTACTCTAATGTATTTCACAAAAAAAAAGGTATTACATCTCAGTTTTATTACAGCAGACTAAAATGTTGTCTAAGATACATGCAGATACTCTACTCTAGAGCAATGGTCAAATTTGAGCTTGCAGCAGCTGGTTTTGTGACGCAGTGGGTTGAGCCACAATATCCCACATGACTGCTGGTTCAAGTCCTGGCTACAAAATTCCCCATCCACCTCCCTGCTAATGCACCTGGGAAAGCAGCGGTAGATGACCCAAGTACTTGGGCCCCTCTACATGAGAGACAGAGATGGAGTTTCTGGCTTTGGCCTGGTCCAACCCTGGCCATGGCAGCCATTTGTGGAATAAATCATCAGATAGAAGATCTCTCTCTCTCTCTGTCTCTCCCCCTGTCTCTGTAACTCTGGCTTTTAAACAAATAAATAAACAATCTAAAATAAAATTAAGGCTCACCCAGAGCATTTGCTAGAAATATTCCTGAGCCTTAATCCTTCTAAGTTTAACAAACTGTAAGCCAATGTTCATGTTGTTTGTTCACATTTGTTACACTTTTCCTAGTGCAGTTATAGAAACAAGCAGTCATTATAGGAAATCCACTCTTGGTAAACTGGATGAGAGCAATTAATTTTCAATGAATGAACACTATGAAAATAATTACCATTATCAGAATTGGCTGATTTTAGCTTTAATTGTCCTTCATGTTTGTAATAGCCTCTTGCTATGCTGAATACTTTCATAATTTCTTTTCTTTGCCTCCATGTTCCTCCTAAACTACCTGTTTGCAAGTGGCAAACAACATATCTCCAGTATCACCTCTATTGTGAAGCATTTCTAGTGTCTCCCACATTGCCATGGGAGACCTTTTTTACTATTTTCTCTTTTTATCTTCTAACTCTGCACCACTGGCCTTTTCACATTGAATGACAATTATTGCTTTGTATGCTTATTTCCCCCAAGACAAAAATTTCCTTGAGGCACTATTCTCTATTTATATTTTCACATTGCTTAGCATAGCAACAGGTACACAAACATCTGATGCTTATAAAATTGAGAATAACAAGAGAGAAAATACACAAATTGTTAGTAAAATGGTGCTGCTTTATCTGTGGCACCACCTCAGGCTCTGGCCCCATCTCCAGCCTGGCTCACTAGATGTCAGGTGACAAAATGGCCCAACTGCAAGTGTCAGTTCAACTCACACCCTAACAGGATTTGCTGCTGCCACTTCCTACCCCCTGCAAGAGTATAAAAGGACCTGCTTCCCGAACATGTGTGTTCTCTCTCTTGACTTCTCTCTCAGCCCCTCTTTCTCTTTTCACTCTCTTTCTTCTTCCCCCTCTCCCTCTGGCCTGTGGGATTTCCCCCTCAGTAAACCCTTTCCCTTACTTTGGTGTTTGGTGTGTTGTGTGGTGGCCTTACATTAATGATAGGAATAAAATACAATTAATATAATATCCTCTGTGAGTGAAATTTATGTTTCCTAAATATAGCTCACATACTATATGAGAGTACTTCAAAAGGCTCATGGAAATGGAATTGCAAGATGATTATTTTGGTGCAAAAAAATTGAAACTCGTGAATAGAATTTTTTTATAATATTACATTGCCATTTTTGAACTTTATGAAGACCCTTCCCATGTGTGTGTGTGTGTGTGTGTATGTGTGTATGATAACATTTAATCCTTGGTAGACCTATAAATAAAATTAAAATTAATTTTGTCAGAAAACAATATGTGCAAAGTGTAATTTCATGAAACAAAATCTTCAGTGCAAGTATTCAGAAGTTACTCTCCAAAATTTAGCACCATTAATGACAAGCCATTCATTTATTCCTGAGCCATTTCTTTAGTTTAGTCCCTAGAATCCCACAACAGTCAGAAACCTTTGAGAGAAATTGAGGTCCCTTCTAACCATATCCACATTGCAGGACGTTGGTCACTGAATTTGATGACTTTCCTGAGCCTAACACCTCACAGAGTACCCATTTCAGTTTTAAGAACTCTAATTTTTTGGAATTCTGTGTTGGCGGGAGCTGGAGTAACAAGATGGCGGCGTCGGCAGAGTGACAGGGCTCCTTGGGTCGGCCGGCCACCGTGGTGGCAGCGGCATCACCTCCCTAACTCAGCGGGCTCCTTTTCCTGCCCCGAAAGCGAGGCAGCGGCAGCCTAGTAACCGCAAGAACTGCCTCACAATCGCAGGCCTGGCAAGAAGAAACCTGACTGAGCAGCGGTGGTCGGTCCCCGTCAGCCGGTTCTGGGCGCTGTGACGCCAGGAAAGGCCTCCCCTGTCCACTGCCTGCCGCCCTCGTCCGCAGCCTTGCCCGGTGGACCAGCCTCAGAAGCCTGCTACGTCCCCTCAGAGGTGCAGGGGCTTTGCCCCCGCCTCCATCTTCGTCTCTCAGGATGGCGACCAGCAGCGGCTCGAAGGCTGAATTCATAGTCGGAGGGAAATACCAACTGGTGCGGAAGATCGGGTCTGGCTCCTTCGGGGACATTTACCTGGCGATTAACATCACCAACGGCGAGGAAGTGGCAGTGAAGCTAGAATCGCAGAGGGCCCGGCATCCCCAGTTGCTGTACGAGAGCAAACTCTATAAGATTCTTCTAGGTGGAGTTGGTGTTCCCCACATACGGTGGTATGGTCAGGAAAAAGACTATAACGTGCTGGTCATGGATCTTCTGGGACCCAGCCTCGAAGACCTCTTCAATTTCTGTTCAAGAAGGTTCTCGATGAAAACTGTGCTTATGTTGGCTGACCAGATGATCAGCAGAATTGAATATGTGCATTCAAAGAATTTTATACACAGAGACATTAAGCCAGATAACTTCCTCATGGGTATTGGGCGTCACTGTAATAAGTTATTCCTTATTGATTTTGGTTTGGCCAAAAAGTACAGAGACAACAGGACAAGGCAACACATACCGTACAGAGAAGACAAAAACCTCACTGGCACAGCCCGATATGCCAGCATCAGTGCGCATCTCGGTATTGAGCAGAGTCGCCGGGATGACATGGAGTCATTAGGATATGTTTTGATGTACTTTAATAGATCCAGCCTGCCATGGCAAGGACTTAAGGCTGCAACAAAGAAACAGAAATACGAAAAGATTAGTGAGAAGAAGATGTCCACTCCTGTTGAAGTTTTATGTAAGGGGTTTCCTGCAGAGTTTGCCATGTACTTAAACTATTGTCGTGGACTGCGCTTTGAGGAAGCCCCGGATTACATGTATCTGAGGCAGCTATTCCGCATCCTTTTCAGGACCCTGAACCACCAATATGACTACACATTTGATTGGACGATGTTAAAGCAGAAAGCAGCACAGCAGGCAACATCTTCCAGTGGTCAGGGTCAGCAGAACCAAACCCCCACAGGTAAGCAAACTGATAAAACTAAGAGTATATGGGAAAGGTTTTTAAGCGTGGATTGTGGCACAGAAGTAGAGCGGATGACCAGAGCAGCATTTGTTTCTCCCCAAATCCTGAAATTTTAGTTCTTACGTACACTAGCCAGTGGTTGTGGATAACCAATTTACTTGGTGTAAAGAACTTAATTTCATTATAAACTGGCTCAGGGCAGCATTGTGATGCTGTATCCTGAGTTGTAGCCACTGTTAATTGTTTTTTTTTTTAAAGGAATTTTTAAAAATATTTATTTATTTGAAAGTCGGAGTTACACAGAGAGAGGAGAGGCAGAGAGAGAGAGGGAGGTCTTCCGATGTTCACTCCCCAGATGGCTGAAATGGCTGGAGCTGTGCCGATCCGAAGCAGGAGCCAGGAGCTTCTTCTGGGTCTCCCACATGGGTGCAGGGGCCCAAGAACTTGGGCCATCTTCTACTGCTTTCCCAGGCCATAGCGGAGAGCTGGACAGGAAGTGGAGCAGCCAGGTCTCAAACCGGTGCCCTTATGGGATGCTGGTGCTTCAGGCCAGGGCATTAACCCACTGCGCCGCAGCACCAGCCCCTAGCCACTGTTAATTGTGAAGGTTAACTGAGGTAGTGAAACATGGTATCCAGTTTTTTAATCACATTTTTTCGAGTAGAAAAGTTAACTAAATGGTTGACACATACAAATTTGTGGAAAAATTGTGTATGCATCATTTTTTTGTTGTTAAGTTCCGTTAGTTTGAACTAGACTGCTTTGAAATCTCATTTCAGAAGAATGGCATAAGTAGTCTTCAGCTACAGTTGTGATGATTGTTAATTCTCACAATTGAGCATTCTTAGGGTTTTTTTTATCCCTGGAGTTTTCAAGTTGTTCACTTAAGACATTCTTCAAATAGTTGCATTCTTGTTTGCAAGCCAGCTGTTAGGGTAACAACCAAAAATTCCAGTGCTTGAGCATAGAAAAGACTCTGCATGCTTACCTGTGCTAGAAGTAACAGCATCTAAAGTGAAGACTTAAGAAAAACTTAGTGACTACTAATAGTCCTACGACTCTGAATTGATTGTACAGTATTCTTGGTACTAAATGAAAAAAAAAAAGCATATTTGTCACAGAAAATTAGTTAAAATCTTACAGCTGAACATGTATGTATGTTGCTTAGATAAATGTAATCACATTTATATGATCAGGGATTTTTCTCTATTTTGAAATGGGAGCCTTTTTATTTACAAGTTTATTAAAAAATAAAAATTTTGTAAAAATTCTAATTTTGGGAATTTTGGCTTTTTAAAACAGATCTATATATCTCACTTATGTTTTTCTGGACATGCATGGAATAAATACAATTCTTTTTCACATCACTCCTTAAGTTTTCTAAAGACAGTTGTCCCATTCAACCTAGCATATTTTCTTAACTGAATAAGACATAGGGAAAATACTATATTTTAAAATTTGAAAAAGAAATCAAGTATATTAATTAAAATACAATGATATATTTACCATTAGTGTTATAAATAATGTAATTCAGAAAGAATATATAGGGATATGTAAGTCAAATTTACACTAAAATACAAAAAGTATGGATGATAAATAAATTCCTTTTAAAAGGACTTTCTTATTTGATTTCTGCTTATTATCCTATTTCAATTTGACAAGAGTGTTTGGTCATTGATAATATCTTTGCTTCCATATTTTTCAGATGCAGAACTATATTCATGTGAACATTGAAAGTATTCTCAGAAGAAAATTTCAAATGGCAATTTGCTATCAAATGTAAGAATCTGTCCCTAATTTTGTTTCTTGGTGACATTCCCACCCAGTTCAAGACATAGCTGATAAACCTTCCTTCCACTTGAAGTCTCCATGTCTGATAAAAAATGGAATAGTTGAGTTTATGCAGCTGTTCACGAGCTAATTATCTGCAATCATTTCTGATTACTTAATAGGCCATGGTAGGATGTGTGTTCACTGCTATGTGGAATTTACACATTAGGCTTTAATGTGCTGATATGGTTAATTGTGGTGCTCACTGCTGCCTGCTAATAGAACATTCCTGAAAATGAGACCATATCTCAATGGAATTTGCTTGTTTATTTTAAATAAGTAATAACTACAAACTCAGATTCTAGATCCGGTGTTTACCATTGTAAGAATGCACTTTTTAGTGCTGTATCATTTCTAATGCAGTTGAATTATTCAAGTTTGAGAAAACAAGTTATTAAACTAATGAGTCAATAACCAGCTCCAACACATAGATTTAACATGTTTTCCTGCTCTGTTCGGTTTCCCAAATTATTTTCTGCCATTGATAGCAAAATAAATTCTTTCAACTGGTACCAAATAAGCTGAATGCAATAACATAATAATGAGAAAAATAAATGTATATTAAAGGCAGACAAATATGTATTAGTGTGTAAACCAAGATGCCTATGCTAGTGAGTAAGAGTTACACAGATATGTTAGTAGGGAAGGTAGACATGAAATTGTTGTAATGAGATCATTACTTTGTTTTGCAGTTTTGCATTTTTTGATAGCATTTAGTCCAAAGCATTCATATGTCACTTAAAAAATTTAGGGCTATTCTTTTGTTGATGCTCCATATTTGTTATTTTTCTGATTTCCAGAAATAGATGCAAAGTGCCTATGAATCTGTTCTAGGTATTCTTTTCTATCCTTCTTTTTGTTCACAAGATCTATTTTTCCCCATCATCACCTTTTCACTCTTTCATCTATTCTTAACATCTTTTCTGTCCCTCACCACTTTTTTATTAGAGAAGCTAAAAGGATTTAAATAAGAAATAGGAAATGTACCTTTGACTTTCTTTGTAATTTCTAAAAATAATACTTTTCTCCACTTTTTTGGCCCTTCCCCAGGCTGATCCTGCTCTTTTAACGGCATTGGATTCACACTTTTGTGAATAGATCTCAACAAATGGGACCCTGTGGGACTCCTTGGGCCCATCAGTCTGCGTGAAATTGTGTGTTCCTAGAAATACTATAAACGTGGTGTTTCTTTGGGCTTAAAGCTATAATCTCTGAAGAAACAGGAACAGAAGGGGATTTAAATAATTTTAATTGACAATGATTTATTCTCATTGTTCTGGTAGAATGTAATATATGCCTGAGTTACTCCAAAGCTTGAGTTTCTCAATTCTTCACAAATTAAGGACTTTTAATAGTTCCTTCATGTTTCCTATTTCTATATTTTTGATATCTTATTGAAACCATAAAACTCCAGAATCTTCTGCTTATTACAAAGGAATTTTTAAAAGTTTGTGGAAATATAGAATTCAAAGATACTTCTTTTGATAGAAAATTTTTTGAAATTTAGGCATGGATTTTTCATAATATACATTTTATATGAACTTTCTGAAAGCCCCTCATACTTTTATTCTTTTTTTAAAGATTTTATTTATTTATTTGAGAAGTAGAGGTATAGATAGAGAGAGGGAGAGACAGACAGAAAGGGCTTCCATCCATTGGTTCACTCTCCAAATGGTGACAATGTCTGGAGCTGAGCTGATCCAAAGCCAGGAGGCAGGAGTTTCTTCCAGGTCTCCCACGCAGGTGCAGGGGCCCAAGGACTCCAAAGAGCTGGATCAGAAGTGTAACAGCCAGGACTAGATCAGGCATCCATATGGGATTCCGGAACCACAGGTAGAACCTTAGCCCACTTTGCCACAATACCAGCCTCCCTTTAGTTTTTTTTTTTTTTTTTTTTTTTTTTTAAGATTTACTTATTTATGTGAAAGTCAGAGTTACACAAAGAGAGAAGGAGAGGTAGAGAGACAGATATCTTCCATCTACTGATTCACTCCCCCAATTGGCCACAATAGCAGGAGCTGCACTGATCCAAAGCCAGGAGCCAAGAGCTTCCTCCGAGTCTTTTCACATGGGTGCAAGGGCCCAAGGAGTTGGGCCATCTTCAACTGCTTTCCCAGGCCATAGCAGAGAGCTGGATCGGAAGTGGAGCAGACGGAATTAGAACTGGTGCCCATATGGGATGCCGGCATCGCAGGTGGCAGCTTCACCTGCTATGCCACAGCGCCGGCCCCCCTCTTTTAAAGTTCCAGTCTACACATATACAACATGACCTTCCTCATGCTCCCAATCAGCTTGCTCCTCTTTCTCCTTGGTCTCGTCTCTGCCTGGGGAAATTAAAGTTCTTTTTAAATATTGTTACCATTGCTGTTTTTTCCCTGAAACATTTTGGGAGAATTGTGAGAGATTATAGAAGCAGTCCTATTAATAACAAGGATGATAAAATTAACAGAAGTGCTTCAGCTGTCAGAAACTGCATTAAGCCCTTTTTGTGGGTATCACATTTTAGTATCCCAACAGCCCTGTGAAAATCCTACCATTGTTGTCATCACATAACAGATGTGGTAAGACTTAACACACAGTAGGTAAAACTTAGTCAAATATTGAGTTCATGATCACATAGTCTAGGGTAAGGTTAAGGGGCAGTGCGGGCGTTTGAAATAGCAGTTTGACTCCATAGCTCAATTTTATTCTTGAGTTTAAGTAATAAGTAATTAACCATTATGCACACTGTCTTCCACTTCTCTTTTTCATTTGCTCAAATGGCCTTCTGTTTGCATCATTAGTTTAGCATGTGTCCCACTGTGAATTGGCTTGCTTATCTGCCAATGTGTTCCTTAAGGGGAGAAAGTGATTTATTTATTTTTATAGCCTCAGAACACAGAACTGGCCCATCTTACGGACTCCATTTATAGTCTTGAGATGGAAATTGATTCTTCCTTTACAGATTTATCTGCCTGTATTTTCCTTCACATACCCTATGATATAGGCAAACAGAACTGTTTGCTATTCTCCACACACCCTGTGCCGCTGCTCTGTGATATCTCTGCTTATGCTGTGCCTACTTCTTGAAATGCCTTTTACATAAGCAGATCTTCACCAAGGCAAAATTCTAAAAGCTGAAGATTCTCTACCTTATGAATCAGATGAGCTTTCTGAAGCTCCTCTACTTTATGAATCAGATGGGATCTTTCCCTTCCTGTCCTCTGGAGCACTTGTTTATAGTGCTGTTGTTGCTTATCATTTCTACCTCATTAATGTACTTGCAAGATTTTTAAAAAAACCTCATCAATGAATTTTTCACATAGTAAGTGCTTCACCAAGATTAAGCAAATCTAGGTTATTTAAACTAGTTATCTTAGAGCCGGCGCCGCGGCTCACTAGGCTAATCCTCCGCCTTGCAGCGTTGGCACACCAGGTTCTAGTCCTGGTTGGGCGCCGGATTCTGTCCCGGTTGCCCCTCTTCCAGGTCAGCTCTCTGCTGTGGCCAGGGAGTGCAGTGGAGGATGGCCCAAGTACTTGGCCCCTGCACCCGCATGGGAGACCAGGAGAAGCACCTGGCTCCTGCCATCAGATCAGCGCGGTGCGCCGGATGCAGCGCACTGGCTGCAGCGGCCATTGGAGGGTGAACCAACGGCAAAGGAAGACCTTTCTCTCTGTCTCTCTCTCTCACTGTCCACTCTGCCTGTCAAAAAACAAAACAAAACAAAAAAACACACACACACAAAAAAAAACAAAAAAACTAGTTAGCTTAGGTTTCTACAAAGTGAAGGGGTTGAATCTTCAGGGCAATGCAAGGAGTAATTGCATTCATCTACTATATAGATGATACAATGTAGATATAAGGCAGTGTTATTTCTATATTTTCTTTTCAATGAATGCATACCTTTGGATCTGTGTAATTCTGGTCTGTCCATTTGTAAGCAAATTTCTATAAACTACAAGAAAAGACTTTTAACCTGAATTACTAGGAAAACTTAACAGCTTTTAAAAACTGAATAATTCCCCTTTTACTATAAACCAGCAACAGAATAGTGGTAACATGGTTAAAATGTTAAAATACTCTGGTATTACTATAAACCTTTATCCACTACTGAATGCAACAAACATTTACCAAGTTTCTATGGTGTGCAAGGCACAATACTTGGTGAGATTATGTGAAGAATAATGAAGAGTTACATATAATCCCTTAAGGAAGTGAACACTAAGAAATGCAGAAAGTACAAACAGCAGAACATAAGGCAGTCTATGCTATAAACTTTAGAAAACACTCAAAATGCTATAAAGATATCAGAAGAATAAGCTCATACCATGGTTATTTTCATTTGCATATATTTTCCTTTTATTTTACCTATATAGTTGATAGATATCTGTCTATATGAAAGGTGCAGTTTTGGGGACAACCACTATTTTTAATACATGGACAGAATAGTTTATTCAGAGTGCAGACCTTAGCACTTGAGAAAACTCATTTAAATGCTAGCTCTTTATAGTTCTTTCATGTCTCCCATTTCTAAATTTTTAGCATCTTATTGGAACCATGGCCTGTGTGATACATATTTCCTATGTAACCTACATAAGGCTTGGTTGTTCCCTAAACTGGACAATTAGAAATAAGAACAACAATGTCTGTTTCACAGGGTGGTCTAAAGGATTAAATAAAATAATCTATGGAAAGTGCTTAGCAGAGCAGCTGTGCTCAGTAAGGGCTCAATAAGGATTCAACAAACAGTGGCCCTTAAAATCACGATCTTCTACAGTTTTTTCTCCTGTCTTTAAAATACTTTAGATATTGGTTTGAAGTATCAGAAAATAGGCAGATAATCTCAAAAGTGGTAAATACCAGCAGACCACAAAGCATCTTCCAAAAGTTAAGCCCAAGGATTAATGGATGCAGGGTCTCAGGTCTGACAGCCCTGTCCTATTTTTGCAGCTGTGAGAGTCAATGTTAT